TACTATCTGCTTGTTTACTGAGTGATTTACTCCTCAGAACCATCCTATGAAGTACGAACTATTATTTCCCCCCAGATGATGAAACTGAGGCAAAGAGATGTAGCTTGCTGAAGGTCACAAGCTGAGGTTTAAAATCAGGCAGTTTGACTCCAGAGCCTTTGTTCTTAACCACCATACTCTAATCCCCAGGAGGAGCAGCCTGGGACTCTGAGTGGCTGAACAAAAATCCAGGAGAAATCAGGTGCAGTCTCCATTGTAAACCAGGGGAAGAGGCCAGACTGTGAAAGACTACTCCGGAGCCAGAGATGGTTAACTGGGGGGCTGGACAACTGGTGCTATTGCTAGCTCTTCTTTTTATTCACACTCTCCTTTCTTTGTGTTCCTTTGCTGGCTCCTCTTCAAACCCAACCTTAAACATTGGAGTGCCCCAGGCGCTGGCCTTGGATCTTCCCCGTTCTCTGTCCACATCCTTCCCTAGGTACCAGCATCTAGATCTTCATGATAATGATTCCCTTGTGTGTACCTCCAGGCTAGGCCTCTTCCCCACCTGGACGAGTGTCTACCTCTCCACTCAACACTTCCACAGAAATACCTCCCAGGCATTTCAATCTTGTCTACAGACTCTTCCCTTCTACCCCGAGACCAACCTGCTCCTCCCACAGACTTCTTTTCTGTGAGTTTATTCAGCACAGTTACTCAACAAGTATTTGTTAGGCACCCACTATAACAGTGAACAAAATAGACAAAACCCCCTAATAGAGCTTATATTCTACTGTCAGGAGATTATGCAATAAATGGGAAAATGTAAACAAATTACATCACGCATTAGAAGCTAAGTGCTAAGCACACTGTGAAATGTTGGGGCTCAGAGTGAATGATCAAGAAAGAATTCTTGAGATGTCTTCAGTGCAAAAAGGTGGTCTTATTTATTAAACCATGGGGACAGGACCTGTGAGCAGAAAGAGCAGCACTGGGGTTGTGACAGGTGACTGACTATATACTTTCAAATTGGGAGGGGGTCAGGGACAGCATTAAACCTCTAAAGAATTTTGGAAACAAGGTTTCTAGGACCTTGAGTGGTCATTTATTACTGTTTAGTAAACCCTCACTTGTGAGACCCTTCAGATGTGTATTAGTGGGCCATTTGCTTGGAGGATGATTGTTAACTTATATCTTGGGGGTTAGAGATAAAGGAAGTTTCCAAAGTAATTTCTGTATGTTTAAAGTAGAATCACAGGATCCTGAGGGGCCAGGATAATGTTCAGCTAACACTGCCTTTTGCCCTTAGCAAACTATTAACATCAAGGCAGCTGAATTCCTAGAGGAAAGTCACTCTGCCTATTTTAAGGACTTGTCAAATGGGCTACAAGTAGCAAAGAAATTAAAAAACTTTTTTTTTGTTTTACCTTTGTCTCCCACATCAAGAAGAAAAACAAAATAAGGAAGGGGCAAAGAGTATAAGGATGGGGACTGAAATTTTAGAGGCCAAGTGAGAGGAGCAGGAGATGAAGTCAGAATAACAAGGCTAGGCCAGGAGTTTTGCCCAAAAAAGATGGAGGATTTTGAACAGATGACTGACATGAGTGGATTTCCACTGTAACAGGGATACCCTATTACCTGAACAGCTGTGAAGAAACTGGAGGAGGCTGAATATGGGGACACCGGGTCTGGCAATGGTTCAGATGAGAGATGATGGATCCGGGGTGAGACCGGGAAACTGAAGGGAGTCCCTGAAAAACTACTTTTTCCACTGTATTTCCTCCTTCTATTCTTGCTAGGACTGGCACCCCTGCCTTACACATGCATATAGAACAGATAATCAATGTCCTCCTTGTAGAAGCCACTTCTGGGCAAGAGGCTTGAGCAACCCGATGTGAAAACGGCCCACAACATCCCCCTGGCTGACCAGAGGTGATCCACCTCATGATAGCCACAGGCCCTAACTAACCAATGAGCTACTTACAACCAGGCACAGTTACCAAAAAGGGGGAAATCCCATACGTCCCCATACCTCCTCACCTTCCCCCTTTAAACACAACCTTCCCCACACACACTGCCTAGTGGCAGAAAATTTCTCCTTTACTGTCCTGCCCACGGCTCCCTTGCTTGCAGCATATTCAATCAACTTTTATCTCTTTTGTTTTGCCTTGGGTGGATCCCTTTCTCCGCCTGCACCACATCTCTGGCTTCCACCGATTGGTCACCCCACATTTGGGAGGGTCCCCGACTGATCGGAGAGACACCACACTCCTTGTAAAGGTCAAGAGTTTAATGATTTCTTTGGAGTCTTCCAGCACAATAGATAACATCTAAGGAGAGACTGGATGGGATGTCATGAACACTTTCCAAGACCACTGACTCACTAAGACCCCCAGCTCCAGGGTGTAAATAACTTATGAAAGATACCTAAACACTTGCTTTTGTTCCTGGATGCAGGAATACCAGACCACCATCCACAATAAAAACCCTAGGCCCTAAGCAAAGAGGAGATTCACTCTTTCCTTCCTGAGTCTCCTGGCTGCTATGTCCGTATCTATACACAATACATCGTTAATAAACTGCTCTCACTTCCTCTCAGCTACATTAGATTTCTATCCTCTGCAAAGCCAAGCATCTTCTTGGCTGGTCCCTTGGGGTCTCCTCTGGGTCTTCAGGCCCAGCCAGCCTGCATGAAGGGGATGTGGGTCAGGAGAAGAGTGGACAAGCCAACGAGGTAGGGCCAGATTCTGGATATATTCTAATGGGGGCTCCAGTATGCACCCAGTGTCTCGGGCCAAAGAGCTAGGTCTTATCCTTGATTCTTCCCCTTCCCTCATATCTCATATCCAAGCCATCAGCAAGTTCTTGTGCTTCTAGCTCCAAAATATACAAAGTCCCTGATTCAGTCCATCTCCACTTACCCCCACAACCCAGCTACACCACCTGGACTTACCTCTCACCTGGACTGCTGCAAGGAAGTTTCTTTTTTTTTTTTTTTAATTTATGATAGTCACACAGAGAGAGAGAGAGAGAGAGAAGCAGCAGGCTCCATGCACTGGGAGCCCGACGTGGGATTCGATCCCGGGTCTCCAGGATTGTGCCCTGGGCCAAAGGCAGGCGCCAAACCGCTGCGCCACCCAGGGATCCCTGCAAGGAAGTTTCTTAGTCTCTGCTTCCTCTTTTACAATCCTTCTCCACAAACAGCCAGAGAGATCGTCTTAAAAATCAAATCATATCGCAGCAAGGATGCCTTCATTCGTAATCCTTTAAGAGCTTTCCAAAGCATTAAGAAGAAAGGCCCAAACCCATAGCATGAACTGTAATGGCTAATGCGATCTGCCCCTGCTGACCTCTGTTCTCGTCTCCTTCCCTCTTTTTCTTGATTGTCCTTCTCCAGCCATACTGGACTCCTTCCTGATCCTCCTATTCACCAAATTCATTTCTGCTTTGCAGCTATGCTGTCCCCTCTTACTAGATCCTTACACTCCAGCTCTTTACATGACTGACCTGTCAACTGTTGATTCTCGGCTCAACTGCCCTCTCCTTAGAGCCCCCCCCACCAATAACTCTGATCTAGTATAGATACCAAACAATATCTCATCTAGTCCACACACTTATCAGAAAACTTGTCTTTCAGGGGAGACAAAATAGGTTATTACTCAGTAAGGTCCCAGGCCAGTAGATGAGGTGTGTGTGGGGGTCATTAAGTAAGATTCCAGGCCATAGATGAGGGGTGTGTGGGGGTCATTAAGTAAGGTCCCAGGCCAGTAAAAGGGGGGGAAGGGGAGAGGACTTTTGATGCAGAGGGTCATCACACACTGTCAGGACCAGAAGGACCAGCCTCCCATCTGACACTTGCATCCGCTGGCAATGTCCAGGCGACCTGTGGTTGACCCCTCCCTGGAAAGGACGGCCCTAACTGCTGGACAGCTTGGGAACTGGGATTTTCCTCATGCTGAGCTGCCATAGGATTCTTGGCAGCTGCTACACTTTTGTGGCCTCCCGAGGAAACGTAAAACAAACAGAAACCCTCCTTTTAGAGGTCTGTTTGGCTTCCCACCCCCAGACTTTCCCTGTAGGCTTGCTCTGCCGTCCCAAGCTTCTGTCCAGGGCATGCTCCTCTGCTCGTCTCTCTCACCCACCGGGGTCCGCCCCGGCCTCCAGCAGCCCTGGTGGGATCTGGCGGACGCGGGGCGCCGCGCCTTCCTCCGGGCCTCCGCCTTCCAGGAGCCGGGCCCCCGCCGCCCTCCATCCGGGTCTTGGAATCAACCTCCAGGCCCTCGGCGCCCAGACCTCTCCGGCCGGAGCGCGCCCCACGTCGTCTCCCGCGCTGTGCCTAGCACGGGGCCCGACACAGCGCAGCTTCCCTAAAGCCGCCGGCGGAATCAAACGACGCACAATCGCCCCTGAACGACCAAGGACTCCAACGCCCCGTGGGAATTCAGACCCCGAAGTCGAGGCCTAGGCCCACCCCCACCCCGAGCCCGCCCTCGGCCTGGCCCGCTCCAGGTCTCGCCGTCCCCTTTGGCCGCTCTCCCCAGACGACTTCACCTCTCTGGGGCCTCCCAGCCCCGACGTCTCCCCCTGCGTTGTCCCAACTGGGAAAAACCTTTACTTTCGGCTCTTAGCCAAATCGGTGCTCCGGTCCCGTCCCTCCGGTAGCCACGCCCCCCTCGTCACGTCCCCGGGCCGAACCGGAAGGGATCGCGCCGCCCCTAGCTCGCAGACCCGGAAGTAGATGTGCCTCGCGGAAGCCGGGTTTGGCCCTGCGGCTGCTGCCGTCGCCGCGGAGAAATTGTTGGAGCTGGCAGCCTAGGAATGGTGAGACTTCGCGCTTCGCTTCTGAGGGTTCGGGGTAGAGTTTGGGGCGAAGTGGGGTTTTCCAGGGTGCCGCGGGGGAAGACCCCCCCCACACGCACACAGTGTTTGGGGCCCCGCCCCGGTAGCGCCCTGAAAATCTGCGCATGCGTGGGCCGGCCCGGCCCAGAATCTGGTCCGAGATGTTACGCATGCGCAAAGGTGGCAAGCCGAAGGTGGGGTGAGACTTGGCCTGGGAGTCGCTCTCTGTCCCTCGCCACCCGCCCCGTGGGGGCTTAAACCGAGAGCATCGGGGTGTGCCCGGTGGTTTGCTTTTTGAGTTGCAGGGCTGACGTCCCCACTCTCGCCCCGAGCTCCAGAAACAGACCTGCACCAATGCCCCGCCTCGGGTGTGCACCTGGGGGAGAGCGAGGGCGGGGGGAGGACGGGGCGCAGAGCTAGCCTCAGCCCGCGGAGCGAGGCCCTCACCTGCTCCCCAGGTGTGCGGACACCCAGCCGTATCCCACGGAGCGGCGCGACTGGAGCGCTGGGGCAGGGCCGGGAGGCTGTGCGGAGTGCCGCCCTGGCCTCAAGGGGCGGGGCCCGCGAGCTCGCCCCGGGGAGTGCCCGGCGCCCCAGTCCTCCCGGGGTTAGGATAGGAGCAGGCGCCCCAGGGCAGGTGATATTCGCTCCGTCCCCCGACCGCGTTTTTTTTTTTTTTTTTTTTTTTTTCAGCTTCCACGCGGTACCACCTCCTAAATCTTGAGCCAAAGCTGCAAAATGGGGGCGGGGGGCGGAGAGGGAGGGATGGACTGATTGGAATTCTATCTCGTTTCCCCGCTTGGGCTTGGGAGGGCAGGGGAGGTGCTACTGAACTGAGTGGGCGGCGACGATAAGAAGTGAGCCAGTAATCCCTTGTTTCGTGCTGGTTTATAGCTGAAGCCCTTCACCTAGCGACTCTTGAGTAGAACCCTAGAGGTCCGTGGACCCCCTAAAATGGTACGTGTTCGTACATTTTTCTGGAGTGCACCGCTTTGATATTCTCAGAGATGCTGGTGACCTTTAGAAAGCTGTTGGTTTATCAGCGTCACTTTGGCAGGATAGAGCCTTGTGTCTCTTTTCCTTGTGTCTTCCCCTACCTTAATGGGATCCTGGGGGAGCTGCTCCAGTATAAGGAGGTGAGGCTGGCCCGTTGGAAACCTGTGCGTCAGGGAGCCTCATTTCTCCTTTGCAGAATCTCCTCTCAGCCTCTAAGCTCACCTGGTCAGAATCCTTGGATGAGCCTGTGGGACCCTTCCTCCTAGCCCTGTGGTTTGGAACCAGTGGCTTTGGGACTGTAAGAGGATGGACAAAGGTAGTATGAGGCCGGGCCAGCTCCCCAAACGCTCAGGCGCCAAGCATCTGCTGATTCCACCCCGTGCCTGGCACGTATGTCTTTTCGTCCTGGCTGGGCATTGCCACCTCCCCCTGGGCCAGCACCACCCACGTACCTCTCGGCAGAGGCCACAATTGACTGACTTGCTGTTGAGCTGCCGCTCTTTGGCATGGCTGCATTTTGATGGCAGAGGGAGCAGTTATGCCCAGAGCCCGGTGTGTCGGCATCACCAGTCTGACCTGAGCACCATGTGCTGCACGACATGACACGTGGCACCGGGAGAACTGCCCAGCGTGGAAGGTCTGGGCCAGGTCTGAGCCCAGATGGGATCTGGATGGCCAAGGAACTCCCACCTTAAAACCTCAAATGTCAAGAAAGCAGGGGAAGGGCCAGGAGGGCTGGCAGGCGGTGGGGGTGGGCAGAGGAAGGGTCCCATGTTCAGAGGCTCAAGGCTCTGCGAGGCACTTAGGAGACCTGAGTTCACCAGTTCTCTTTTTCTAGATTCTCAGGGGCTGCTAGATTCATCTCTGATGGCCTCCGGCACTGCCAGCCGCTCAGAGGATGAGGAGTCACTGGCAGGGCAGAAGCGGGCTTCCTCTCAGGCCTTGGGCACCATCCCTAAACGGAGAAGCTCCTCCAGGTAGTAAGGGTTCAGGGGGCCAGGGACCGGGTAAGGGCATTGGATGCTGCACACCTTTGCCACTGTTGGCAGTGGCTGAGCCCTTCTGGGGCCTAAGTGTGGGTAGAGCTTTTTGCTTTTCCTGCCAAGCCCCTCTCTGTGGAACGTGGGCAGGGGAGGGAGATACTAGGTCTTTGACATGAACTGTTTGTGGCGTGGTACCCTGTCATCTCAGAGGGCTGGAGCGTACAGTTCAGGCCTCATCCAGTGCGCTGGAGCCAGGAACTTGCTGTTTCAGAGCCTGGGTGTGTATGAGTGGGTACGGGGGAAGGGGCAAGGGATGCTCACTGGGCAGGACTCTCCACAGATTCATCAAGAGGAAGAAGTTTGACGATGAGCTGGTGGAGAGCAGCCTGGCTAAGTCCTCTACCCGGGCGAAGGGGGCCAGTGGGGTGGAGCCAGGGCGCTGTTCAGGGAGTGAACCTTCCTCCAGTGAAAAGAAGAAGGTGAGAGATTATGAGATGTGGGGGGCTGGGGCCAGATTTTGTATTTCCCCACCACCTTTGCCAGCTGGCAGGAGCCCTGCAGGAGAGGCTTGTGAGAAAATCCGGGGGCCCCAGCCCCAACCTCAGCTGCCTCCCTCCTGGGAGCCCATCTCTTCTTGCTGCTCCCCTCACACACACACACCCTGTCAGTGCGTCCTGTATCACATTCTGTGTGGGAGGCATGGAGCGTGCATCTATTCTGGGAGCAGACAGCCTGTTCCCAGCATTGCTGGGTGTAAAAATAACCCCCCAGGTGGCATTGCTCTGGCCCTAGACACCGTATCAGTCAGAGTGGTTTCTTGGTATCCTCCCCACCTGCCCTCCACCCTAGAGTTGAAGGTGCTACCAGCAAAGAGGAGACCCCATAAGGTCATGGGCCATGTAGAAGTGCTCTGAGCGGGTGGGGACTAGAAAGCTGAGCTCCTGCCCATGTTGCTTACGGTCGGTGAGCCTGGGGCTGCCACACACAGTATGGAAAGCTCCAGGCCTGAAGCCCGAGCTGCCCCGCTGCCAGCTTGGAGCTCATTCTCTTCCTGTCCCCTGCCCAGGTGTCCAAGGCCCCTAGCACTCCTGTGCCACCCAGCCCAGCCCCAACCCCTGGACTCACCAAGCGTGTGAAGAAGAGCAAACAGCCACTTCAGGTGACCAAGGATTTGGGCCGCTGGAAGCCTGCGGATGACCTCCTGCTTGTCAATGCTGTGCTGCAGGTAATGCTTCTTGGCCTGGGCTGCACATCCCCTTCCTCTGCCCAGCCTGCAATCCCCAGCCCCAAAATAGCCCCGCGCCCCAGGGGTAGCAAGGGAAGGCTTCTTCCATGCTCTGAGGCTGAGGCCAACCCATCTGGGCCTTGCAGACCAACGACCTGACATCTGTCCATCTGGGCGTGAAGTTCAGCTGCCGCTTCACCCTGCGGGAGGTTCAGGAGCGCTGGTACGCCCTGCTCTACGATCCTGTCATCTCCAAGTGAGTGGGGCTGGCTCCAGCAGCGGGAAGGTACTGGGAACCAGAATTTGGCTCCTGGAACAGACAGGACTCTACAAGGGCCCAAGGGAGGGGCCTGGGAGGCAGGACTCGTGGGACCTTGCATCCTCTGGGGTTGTATTGAAACCAGCCAGGCTGGAGAGGGAAACTTATCCCTGCTGCCAACCCTGCTAGCCCTGGCCTGATGCCGAAGCAAGGGGATCTGGAAGCTGAAGAAGTAGCTTGGGAGAGAACACCCGAATGAGCAGGAGCCCTGGTTCCACCACTGTGTGCGCTGTGATTTGGGGCAGATCACTTCCCAGCCTTTCCACACTGACCTCCCGTGATTTCTTCCTCCACAAGAAGGAGTTGGAACAAAAGAACAGGAGGGCCCCTAAAAGGCCAGGTTCCAAGTGAACCTGTGCACCCATGCGGCACACACTTCCTCCTCAGCCACCTCGCTTACCATCATCAGAGTTAATTGCAAGCCTAGCACCCGGCTTTTACTCCCTAGCACCACTTAAGCGTAGCCACGGCCCTGACAGGCCAGGAGGTGGGCAGGGCAACTTTGGAAAGAGGGTGTGGTGGGCAGTGGGTGGCAGCTTTGGCCAAGCTAAGAGAAGGTCTTGGAGGAGCAGCAGCTTGTCTCAGGATCTCCCTCAGGACTGGCCTCTGGGGCCTGTGCCTTTGAGTCTCTTCAAGGGAGCAGACACTGGACACTAGGTTGGCTGAGTTTGCCTGTGTTTTGCTTTCAACAAACCCGTGAGGCCACAGGTGCTGTGCTGAGCCTTGAGCCTTTCTCTCAAGGGCCTGGCCTCTAGTTCTAGATCTAAAAGGCCTGCAGGAACCCCAGATGGCTTGACACCCTCCTGTCAACCCTGCTCTCTTTCTCACTGTCCCCCCAGGCTGGCCTGCCAAGCCATGAGACAGCTGCACCCAGAAGCCATTGCCGCCATCCAGAGCAAGGCCTTGTTTAGCAAGGCTGAGGAACAGCTGCTGAGCAAAGTGGGATCGGTAAGGCTGAGGGGCCGGGGAGGGGCCTGACCACTGGGAAGACCCCTGACACGGGGAGGCCCCGTCGCCTGGAGACATGCCCTGCGGGTGCTCGTATATCTGCAGGCGCCTTTGTGGATGGGGTCCTCAGGAAGAGCCAAGACCGGCTCCCTCTTCGTCCAGCAGCTAGTGGGTCGGGGTGGGGGTGGGGGGGTGGGTATGGCAGAGATGAGAACGAGAACACCCAGGTGCTGAGAACAGGCTTGCCCTCCAGACCAGCCAGCCCACCTTGGAGACGTTCCAGGACCTGCTGCACAGACACCCCGATGCCTTCTACCTGGCCCGTACTGCCAAGGCCTTGCAGGCCCACTGGCAGCTCATGAAGCAGTATTACCTGCTGGAGGACCAGACAGGTAACTGGCGCTGGGAGCTGGCGGAGTGGTGCGTGCGTGTGTGAGGTTGTCTGGGCTCGGCTGCCCTCGGGTGCCAGTAGTGGATCCTTCCGAGGCCCCCGGTGTCTTGCACCTCTCTCTGCAGGGAAACCACTGCCTTCCAGAAGGAGGGCCAGTGGCTGGAACAATAGCAGCATGGTCAGGGTAGCCTTGCCTGGGATCCTGAGCAAAAAGTCTAAATGAGACACTTGTCTCCCACTTCCTGTTTTTGTCGTTGTTGACCTAGCACACCGTCATGTAGTGGCATGTTCTCCACGAATCACACTGAAACACGAGTAAAGTGTGAAAGTCCCCTTCGCTGCTTACCCTTCCCTGTTTCCTTCCCTAGAGATGCTACTACCCTAGAGAAGGTACTTTTTCTAAGTTTCTGCCCGTCTCCCCTCCCCACAATCCTCCTCGTTCCTTTGGCGCCGTCCCGAAAGCCCTTCACGCCCAGGCCTTCTGCTCCTGTTAGGCTCGCACTCCTAACGACGGGTACCGGGAAGGTCAGCTGCTAAACCGCGTGCAGCTCCTTGTTCTGTTTGGGACTTGGGTTCAGTCTTTCCTTGTACGTTGTAGCATGGACGCTCTGCTCTCACTTCTGGACAGTGCCGTCCGTCAGCGTCTCCAGGGTTGTTCCCGCGGTTCTAGAAATGAGGCTGTGCCTGTGCCCTCCACCTACTCCCTGGCCCTGCTGCTCCTGGTTATGAAAAGATACTCCTGCAAGAGGATTTTCAGGAGTCTTGGCAGGGAGGGCCCCACCTTTTTCTCCTGAGGATTTCTGAATTTAGTGAGCAGCTCTCTCCACTCCTGCCACTTCCAGATTTCTGCTTCTGCCTCAGGCTCTGGTGTCCCTGAATTCCCACGGAGAGCGTGAACGCTGCTGGCTAAGGTCTATTTTTGCTGCTGTAGCTAGCTTCTTTGAAAGTTACTTTGTACAACTTAGAGATTCAGTTTTTCTCTCCGGGAGTCTTCTCTGGGGCATTTGATTTCTCCTTGGCCTCCTTGGCCGCGCAGTGCTGGGATCCCTACACGCTGCTTAGCTCCCAAGCTAGTTTAGTGGGGTTTTAGGCAGCTGTGGTGGGGATGGAGCCCGGCGGGGGGGGGAGGTGACCACCCCAGTCCCTTGTCTCCCACAGTCTGACCTCACAGTTGAGGGGAGGGTAGCATTTGTGGCTCCTGTGCAGCCTCCGTCACTTCCCTGGGAGGCAGTGAAGACTCCCCCGGTGTGGACACTGCTCAGCCGGCAGTTCTGAGGCCACCAGCTAGTGGGCGCTGCCACCACGCGACACCGCAGGCTGGGAGCCGCTGGCCAGGAGGCAGTCGTTCTGAGTTTGGGGGCCAATCTCATTATAGTTGGACCAGAAAGAAAACTGAAAACCTTTCATGCAACTATTTATCCTCAGTGTACTTGACGGACTCTGATACTCTATCCCATTTCGTATTTGTGAAACAAATGAAAACTGGTTTTGTGACTAAGATATCATTAACCCACAGCTTGAAAAACGCTGGCGGAAGGCATGGCGGCTCTCTTCTGGCTCACCCTAAGTGGCATGTGCCCGCCGCCTCTTGCTGAGTATGTGCCCGCCGCCTCTTGCTGAGTATGGCCAAAAAGGTTGGGGAGTATATGATGTGAGAGAGGAGCATTTTGGATTTGGAATCGGGAAAGCGGGGCTCGAATCCTCGGTCTGTCCTAAACCTGAGGGCCGTGGTGTAGCCCTCCTTCCTGGAGCTGCCTCGGGCAGGGGCCTAGGGGCAGGGCCTTCCCTCCTAAGTTCACAGCTATGTGAGAGCTTCGCACGCTGAAAAGCACACACAAAAGGTCAACTTTAATTCCCTTTTTTTCTAGAATCACCTCTGCCCTTAGCTGATGTCAGGACTGCTTTGTGTCACATTAGCTTGCTGCCCAGTCGGGCACGCGCTCTGTTACCTGTTGATCTCAGCACAGAACTGTGCGCGTGTGGCTCGGTCTCCCCAGTTGGCCCCTGAGTTCAGTCCCCTTGCCGCAGAGGGTGGAGTGGGGGCAGCGGCGCTGACCATCTCTCCGTCCTTTGTTCAGTGCAGCCGCTGCCCAAGGGGGACCAAGTGCTCAACTTTTCCGACGCAGAGGACCTGATCGACGACAGTAAGCTCAAGTGAGTAGCTGAGGTCACAGGCAGGGTGCAGAGTGGAGTGTGTCCCGGGGACAGAGCTCTCCGGGCCACCCGGCCCTACCTTCTGCGGCAGGGAACTGAGCCCAGCACACACTCAGCCTCATGCTCCGCTTGTCCCCTGGTCTCCTTGATGAGGGTCCCCACCCCCACTCAGGGAAAGGAGGCTAGTCCAACAGAGGAGCAGCGTCTTGGCTTCCTCAGCCGAGGGACTCAGGGACACCTTAATGAGCCGAGTAGCACCTGATGGTCATGGCAGGTGAGCTGGAAGTGGATCCTGACGCGTCCTTCTCCCCCACAGGGACATGCGGGATGAGGTCCTGGAGCATGGTGAGTGTACCCCGGTGGGGCTGTTAGGGGGTAGAAGCTCCTGCTAGCACAGAGGACCAGTACAAGGTGCCGGTGGCCTCAGAGTGTCCCTCCTTACCACCCACCTCACCCCAGAGCTAACAGTGGCCGACCGGCGCCAGAAACGAGAGATCCGACAGCTGGAACAGGAGCTGCATAAGTGGCAGGTGCTGGTAGACAGCATCACAGGTGAGGAGGGCCAGGCTTCAGCTCCCTTCGCCCCACCCCGAGACCCCTGCTGGCCCGGCTGGGTGCACCCTCATCTCCCAGCCCCCAGCTCCCTGCCTTCTGCCCTGTGGCCCTAAGGAATGGGCTGTCCCTGACACAAGCCACTCTTCACGCAGGTATGAGCTCTCCTGACTTCGACAACCAGACGCTGGCAGTGCTGCGGGGCCGCATGGTGCGGTACCTGATGCGCTCCCGAGAGGTAAGGTGGGCCCGGCTGCCTGCTGCCCCAGGTTGCCCTCCTCTGTCATGCCGGTCTTGACCCCGCTCACCTTTCTGTGTCTGGTCCCTGATTTCTCATCTTTCCCTGGCCTGTATAGACCCATTCCTCAGGTCCCAGCCCTCACCTGCCCCATTTCCCCAGATCACCCTGGGCAGAGCAACCAAGGATAACCAGATTGATGTGGACCTGTCTCTGGAGGGTCCGGCCTGGAAGATCTCCCGGAAGCAAGGTACCAGCAGGAGGCAGTGTGGAGGTGTCCCTCCCAGCCTTTCCGGCCCTCCAGCCCTGTGGCTTGGTCTCCATGGGAACCCTCATCGAGCGCTGGGGCTGAGCCACTGGCATTTCAAGATTTCTAAGTTGGGAGTCCCGGGTGCCTTCTAGTCTGTCCCTGGGAAGCAGTGCGCATGGGGACCTCAGGCCCTCTCCTGGCCTTCCCTGTCCCCTCATCCGCCTTTGCCTCTCCATCCCCACAGGTGTCATTAAGCTGAAAAATAATGGTGATTTCTTCATTGCCAATGAGGGTCGGCGGCCCATCTACATCGATGGACGGCCAGTACTGTGTGGCTCCAAGTGGCGCCTCAGCAACAATTCCGTGGTGGAGGTGAGCTCAGAGGGAGGAGGAGAGGTCGGGAGGAGACCAGGAGTGCGGGGAGCCAGTATGCGGGCCTGGCCCCCCCATCCCACCTCTGTCCTCGAGCCACCCTTCTCTCCCGCTCGTAGATTGCCAGCCTGAGATTCGTCTTCCTCATCAACCAGGACCTCATTGCCCTTATTCGGGCCGAGGCTGCCAAGATCACGCCACAGTGAGGGGTGGTGGCAGGACCCATGTGCTCTCTGTGGCCTCAGTTTCCCCTGCCATTCCAGCCCCTTGGAGCTGGAACTCAGGCTCCTGGAAAAACCATAGTAGGCAGGAGGAAACCCAACTGCGGGCCCACTGATCTGAGCCTCTGGTAGGGCAGGGCTGGTCCTGGGAAGCCCCTGGAGGCTGGAACCCTCCAGCTTCCTTAGAGCCAGAGCCCCTCCCCTCCTCTCTGCAGGCCGCCCTCCTCTTCCCTCGGGTTCCCACCTTTGCCCTTTCGTCTCCAGCTGATTAGCTTCAGACTTTACCTTTATTATTTTTCTTTTGTAAATAAAAAGCACCAAGTTCCAAAGTAGCTCATTTTATTATTTTTTTAATATAAAAAATGGGACTGGGGAGACAGGGACACATGCAGGGGATGGCAGGGTCCCTCCTGGCCTCAGGCCTCTGTCCCCCCATCCTGCAGAGGGAGAGACGGTCAGAGGAAGAGGCTGAGGGGTATGAAGATTCCCAGCCTGGGGCCTGCCCCTGAGGCTCTAGGCCACCCGAAGTCGGGGGCCGAGCCCTCTTTAATTCTCCGCTCCCTGCCCTGAGCCGGAGGCAGCACGGAGTCCTGGGGATGGCCGCCGTGCTTCCTCCGCCCCGGGTTCAGGCGGAGCAGCCGCTGGCAGCAGGTCTGGCAACACTGAGTTCTGGGGCTGGGGTGCTGGCGGTCAGACCCCTGTGCCCTCTTCCTGGGTCCACTGGACTGTGCCAGAGCCATGGCAGCCGATAAGCACCATCTCCAGGCTGTGGGGTTCCCAGGGCAAGGCCAGGCCCCCGGCCCCTGGCGGGGGCTCTCCAGTACTAGCAGCCTCGGCCTGGTTCATGGGCTCCGGGGGCCCAGTCCGAGCCCCTTCCTCAGGAGGCGGTGAGCCAGGGGTGCTGGGCTCGGGGCCGAGTTCGCCTGAGCCCGGGGGCTCAGAGTCAGAGGTGGAGGTCCAGAAAGCTGTGGCTCGAGGCCATGGGGAGCTCTGAGATGCTGGGGGGCCCCAGGGCCAAGGGGCCACGAGGGGAGGGGGCTCTGGACGAGGGTGGGGCCAGGTCCCACTCAAGACAGAGCCAGCTGGGGGCTGCAGGCAGTAGGAGGATGTCCCAGTGTCCACACACAGAGGCTGTAGGAGCCCAGAGGTGCTGGCTAGGCACGGCCCCTCCCCTGCGGCCCGAGGGCAAGGGCCCTCCCCATGGGGTGCCAGGACTTGCTGCACAGCCTGGCGAAGCGACTGCAGGCCCTCGCGCATCTGCAGCACCTGCTCTGACAACTCTGTTACCTTTGGGGAGCGAGGTAGGAGGAAAGAATGACGTCAGAGGAGTCTGGAGCTCCCAGACAGCAGCACCCGCCCCCGCCCCATCCTGCCCCTCACCCACCGCCTGCCGCAGCTTGTCCAGCGTGTCCACGTTCCTTGCCTCACCAGGCCCGAGGGGGACAGCAAGCAGGCCATTCTCTGCGAACAGTAGGATGGGGTTACAGGCAGCACTGGCAGAGGAGATGGCGCGGGGTCCAGGCCTCCGACCCTGCTGCCCGCCACGGCCGCTCCAGCCTTGCCCTAGCGGCATTCTGCTCACCGGGCCTGGGGACCCAGGGATGCAGCCCTCACCTTCCCCTCGGGGAGCTGCTCCTGCCCGCCCCCCAGACAAGTGACCACTCCCGGGAGCCCCTTACCCTGTCAGCTCCAGGGACTGCGTGGGCTGCACGGCCTGGCCGGGGCCCACTTGCAACCCTGCTTCCCCCACAGCCCCTGTCCTCCCCAGGGTCTTGGAGCCTTTATCCTGTTTAACACACGCAGCCCCCGCATTACAGGCCCGAGGCCCAAAGCCGGGGCGGGTGCAAGGTCACGCTGCTGCGGAGCCCAGTGCGTGGAGCTGAGCCCCGGCCCGCCTAGCACCAGTGCACTGGACTTCACCACCAAACTGTACTGCCCTACCTGTAGGTTGAGGAGGGCAAGGGGGCACGTGCCCTGCCAGCCTGTCCCCAGGCCCCCTACCTGGTCCAGGGGAGGGGCTGCTGCTGCACTCCGGGCCAGACTGCCCCACACGGAAGGAGAACTTGGGCTGGTCGGAGCCACAGCCGTCCTCGATGCCGTCTACTACCCTGCGGACACAGGTGCCAAGGCAGCAGATCAGTCCACGGGTGGCCGCTGCCAGGCCCGGTGCCCACACACAGCAGCCCCCGCAGCCTGGAGCTCCGGGTCCGGGTAATGCTTGGTCCCTTTCCCTAGGGGCTTGCGGTTCTGCTACGGATCCAACAGGACACAGCAGAATTCTGAGCAGGGAAGGGCCAGGCACCAGGTGGGGGGCTGCCGGCCACAGGAAGGTGGAGTCCAAGAGGGCTTCCCAGAGGAGGCAGGGATGGGCCCCGGCCCCATCACCACCATCTCTGCCACGGCGTACCGAGGCCCAGGGCCTGCTTACCTGGGGCTCAGATCCGGGGGGACGTTCCATGGCACGGAGGGCAGCTGCAGCCCCTCTAAGCTCCGAGGGTGAACAGAGGGGCCGGCCTCAGCCTGCAAAGCCCCCGCCCTGCCCGGCCGTCCTCGGCCCCTCAGCCTGGGCCGGGGTGCTGTCCGGCGTGGGGACAGCAGTTTGGCAGCTGAGGAGGAGGAGGTGCAGCCGGGGGACAGCAGGGGGCTGGAAGGCTCGTCAGCCGGGGCGGGGGAGGCCGTGGGGCCCTGCTCCCCGTCCGTCTCTTTCTCCTCCAGCGTGGACATAAGGGTGTTGTCGCCACTCAGGGAGCTGGTGTCCGCCTGGGGACGGTGGGGCCAGAGGGGCGGCATGGGTAGCCCCTCCTGTGCCCCACTCCCTGCCCCACCCCGCCCCCGTCTCCCCAGGAGGAGCTCCCTGGATGCCCAGTATCTCCCGCCTCGGAGGAAGAGTCTGGAGGGGGAGCTGTTTTTCTGCTGCCACCGCACAGCCACCAAGCCCTGAAGGAGGTTGCTGCCTGTCAGAATTCGAGCGGAGCGTGGGTACCCCACCCCTGGGCTCGGTCCCTCAGGCTAGCCGAGCTCCCCAGGAGAACGCCTGCTAAAAGCTACTTTGGGGTTAGGAAGATGAGCCAGGAAAAGTCAAAGCCCCTCAGAGCAGTCCTCGCTTGTGGCGAAGAAACCAGGGAGGCCCCAGGGCTCTCGAGAGGTGGCCTGGAGGAGCAGGGCCGGGAGGGCCGGTGGAGCATGGGTGGCTGCGCAGGGGCAGGACTGACACATCCCCCCACGATGTGCAGGGGCCCACGCAGTGCCTCCCGAACCCCAGCCCCCTGTGCACACGTTCCCAGTGCCCTTACCTCTGCGGGGCCTCCACCAGCACCCAGGTTGTAGCTGAGCTCCCCTCGGAGGCCCCGGCTGAAGCGTGGGGCAAACTCGGGGTACAATGCAAGGCTCTCGTGCAGCCCAGCCAGCTGTAGACATTGTAGGACGCAGTAGGTCAGCCCCTTTACATCGGCATTGGCCTTGACCACCTGCTCTCGCCGGGGCAGCTCGCAGCCAATCAGATCACCCTTCCCTGGGAAGCGGAAGCAGAGGTCAGCAGAGGTCAGCGAGCCCTGCCCCTCAGCACCCCCTGCGAGCTCAGCGGGGGGCGGGGGGGGGGCTTGGGCCGCACAGAGAGGAGCAGAGGGGCCCAGGCCCCAGCCCACCCCTGCTGCCTGCCTCTGGCTCCTCAGGCCTGCAGTGAAGCACACCCGGGATCAAAGCCACTGCGCTGGACACATTTACATTTTAGCTCTGAGACAAACGAGTCCCCAATTCTCGGGGTTCTGAGGTTGCCTGTAGATCCAAAACCCTTACGAAAGTTAAACCAATCAGATTCCAGGCCCCATGTCTACCCACGGAATCATTATATCTACAGGAGACCCCACAATCCAATGTTTTTCAACCCGCGCAGGTGATTCAGGTGGGACTCTTCCAGGATCCAGCAGGTTAGTGCCCCGCGAGGCACAGGGATGTCAGGCGGCCGCATTACTTCACCTCCCTGAGCCCTGAGGCTTCTATGACAGGTCTAGTACTGAACTGAGTGGTGGTGCTCTCTGGATCTTTTTTTTTTTTTTTTTTTTTTTTTTGCTCTCTGGATCTTACCAGAAAGTGTCCATGGAGGGTTTTCCCACCACCCAGCTGAGATCGCCACTTGGCTGACAGCATTGTAAAATGGCATCAGTTAGAACCTGCATCCCAGACTCCAAGATGTGAAATTGTAGGAAGAAAATGTGGATGGACTGGGGTGTCTCCAGTCAGGATTAAATGAGTCGGTGCAGGTGAAGTGCCTGGCGCAGAGGCGACCAATCGAAGTTCCTCTCCTCCTCCTCCCTCCGGCTCAGAGTCCCCGGCAGATGGTTCCCACCCGGGGTGGCAGGCTGTCGGCAGTGGGGCAGAGCACGCGCTGCCCTCCCAAGTCAGCGCAGCCCACGCCAGGGTGCACAAGATTGGACGGCCTTTCCTCACGGATCAGTGCCACCCCCAGCGTGGGCTGCCTCCCGCTGCCAGCAGGCCTGAGCTTAGCAGCCTCTTCTCAACGTTCATGGACTTTTGCTCAAACTTGAGTGTAGAAGGCATCACTGTTAAATCATATTTCTTGGTTTGAGGCCCATCCTTCTGGTTCCTTCTTAGAGGTGTTTGGATCTCCATGTGCTCATCCGATGAATGAGCTCTCCTCGTGTGTGTCATCACCCAAAAGGTGAGACAATCGCACAACAGGCCAAGACCGGTGACAGAGCTCCATGCCACCCGTCTCTGACCAGAGACTGCCATCCGGGGGGGGGGGGCTTCCAGCTCAGCTCTCCACCCCCTCAGGTCTTCCTGGCACCGACACCGGCCCGCATCTCTCCTGCCGCCTCCCCCCACGGCCGGCGGTGCCTGCTTAACTGCTGCCCAGACAGGGAGGTCGGGGCCAGAACCCACATGCAGGCCTCGCCTCCGCCTCCGAGACTCAGTAGGCGGGAAGCCCCCGGGTGTTCAGCGAGGGAGGCAGCTGGGCGCGGGGTGAAGGCGAAGCAGAAAACCAGCCCGGGGGTCACCAGGCACTCAGGGCATCCAGAAGAGCCGTCAAGGCAACAGTCCATCGGGAACATATGGGCAGGGACAGGATGGATCAAAGGGGGCAACGTTCTGGTGCTGGGGACACGCAGTGAGGCAAAGGCCTGGGGCGCAGGCGGTGGACGTTCTTGAGGCTCCGTCTTCATTGTGAACATGATTACTCTGCAACCTGGCGCCTGGCATTAGTGAGGAGATGTTCTTGCAGGACCAATGCCAGCTCCCAGCCGCACCGCTTCCTCAGCTCTGAGCTGAAAACCATCTGTTTAATAATCCGCTCGACAGTCTTGACCAG